TCGCTACTCAAGTTCGCTACAAAAGATGTTCTTTCAGTTGATTCATTTGGAGCATATATATTGAAAAGAAGGAATTCTTCCTCCTTCCACTTGAGGTGCATTGAGCACCACCTACCCTCTTGGAGATCTGCCTCCTTGTTCAAGATGCTTCCTGGCGCATAGAAGCGGGATGATTTAGGGATCAAGATAGTTGTTCCTTTTGTATTTGAGTTAGTGTCTGCCGCTCATATTTCGTCTCTTATACCTCCCATCTTCCTTGCTATAAATTTCTTGATCCTGTTGTGTTCTGGGGAGAAGGAGAGATGAGTTTCTTGAAGCATTATAATATCTGCAATTGATTTGTTGTTCACTTTCAATCCGGTGAGAATATCATTCCATTTTTCTTCTTTATCTATGACATTCCCCAAACCATTAATGTTCCAGCATCTAATAATTATCCCTTGGCTTCTCCAGTCTTCCGAACCCCCCCTCTCATTCGCCAATCTTCTGAGCTCCTCCATCTTGGTTGTATTCCCTGGTTCGGCATGACTGTGGCTTTATGAGGGATGTCCTAAGATGGTGCTCCGCCACCCGTGTCCTCCCCCGTGGGGTCATCCCCAGAGCCTTCCCCCTATGTGGCCTGCTCTATACCCTCTCCCATCTTCGTTCCCAGATCCACTACTCGCAAAGATCCTCACTCTCGTCGTTAGTTTTGCCCGGTTCCGATGTTTGATCATCTTCGTCCTTTTTAATGTCCGATTGCCAGCCTTGTAGATCATCATCTGAATCCTCACTCCTATAGAACCTGTCCCAGTCTACTGGGTATGCTACGGCATCCAAGTCCCCATCCCCCTCTAGCATACCTGACATGACCAGCTGGGCAACCAAAACTGTCGTCAGTTCCGCCGGTAAACATGAACCTGCCAGAACGCTGTAAGGTACAGCTGTTATCGTCCGCCAGGGTCTCCATCTCATCCCTGTTTTCAAGCTTGCCGTCGTCGACAGCTTGACGATCAGGGGCGAAAAGGCTTGGGGAGAGTGTCTCCCTTGTTCTGACCGTTGTGACGATGGGTCTTCTTGTTCTGTTGGAGACTGTGTGTCTACCTGGTCCGCCACATATGGTACTGTGTCATAGACTCCCAGAGGGAAATCTGTTGTTACTTTTTCTCTGAGAATGTCTGCCACATTTTGGCCTTCCTCGAAGCAAGGGATCTGGAATGAGACGTCTGTAGCAATCTGCCAGTCTTCTATTTTTTCCATATACCTTGCTGCGATCAGCGGGCGGATGTTCATCAGCGTTAATCGAGAAGATCGAGCTGTTTCCACTACCAAGGGTGCCTGGTTTCTGGCAATGTGTGAGATCGTGATGAATTCCAAAGCGTACTCTTCGTTCAGCTTTTTCAGCTTGTCGGTTTGGGCCAAGACGACTGCCGCTTCTTTTTCCAGAAGCGTGCGTCCTGAGTCATCATGGGACTCAGTTAGCGTTGTGTCAGGATTCTTCTTTTTCTGATTCTTCCCAGACTTCCACTTCTTGGGGCGCAGGAACTTAAATTACTTTTAATTCAAAGTTCAGCTTTTTTTTTCTTTTTTTTTTTCCCCAAAACAACTCAGCCCCTTCTATTCTGGGGGGCATCTGTCCGGTTGCTTATCACCGGCAAGCATGAGTTCCAAAATACAAATTATGTGTAGGAAAAGAGGAAAGTCTTACCCTTGTGGCCCTAGACGCCTAACAAGGGGGGGATTGCTACAACCGATCCCTCTTCCCATACCATAGCCTCCCCAGGGATACTTCTGTTGGTCGGGAGGCTTCCTAGCAGCACCCAGCCACACACAACAGATGGGTCCCCAGGGAAGGCCTGGCCCGGGTGGGCCGTTCTAGCAGTCTCACGGGCCTCACATCCTGTCAGTCACACCCTCTGTTCAACCATCTTTTTTGTACCTACTAACACTCTTTTAGTCTAGATCCTTCCCTATCCCGTCTTCCTATTGAATCCTCAAGTCTCGTCTAATTTTTACACCAATCTCCTTTGTCCATCCTATCAGTCACACCTTCTGTTCAATCCTCTTTTTTATAACTACTACACTCTTTTAGTCTAGTTACTTCCCTATACCCGGCTGCCTATTGTATGCTTAAGTCTCGTCTAATTCTTACTCCTGTCTCCTTTGTCTTTGCTCAAACTTCAAAGTTTATCATACTTTTTTCTTTTTTTTT